GTTACTATTTAATGATCACACAGATACCTGATGACAGCACCACTGCTAAGGAACAGACAAATATTTAAAATGCAAAGAACAGTCTGTAAATAGCAAAAACCCCGCCTGAGGTCAGGTAAAGTATAAAGCCATAAGGAGATCTCTTTCCATTGGGCTCTGATTGCGATGCTACCTACTCTCCCACCCTGGCACCTATCTAATAGTGCCTTTTATGGAGCCCGTCAGGTTGTTGTGCCTCTCTGTTGGTACCTCCTATTAGGGTTTCCCTCCCCTCTGGAAGAAATACATTGGCATCAACCTCATAAATTTTGTTAACTGAATAAATATATCCTTGACTATCTGCATTTAATACAGAAGGCATTTCTAAGGTGGTCTGTGCCACAAATCCATCAGACCCAGTTACCTCAGACGACTAAACTAAGTAAACAAGGATGATGCTAGAGAAATATAGTGTTTTAAGGATGGGGACATGGTGGGGCCAGCAATAGTCCTGAAGGTCTGAAAACAGGTAAGTTGGGGGCCCTTATTTTCCAAGAGGTAGAAATCCGACCAGGAAGACACAGACTACTGCTAGAGTCAGCCCAGAAGCAAAAAACTAAAAGCAAAGCAGGCCTAAATTTGGGATTCTGCTTGCTGAGAAATTTCAGTTTCAGCTCCTGACTGATACCTTTGTTTTCTCACTGCAGATTTAGAGCCCAAATTCAGCCCAAACAGTACTTCCAAGGCTTCAGACCTGCTAGTAACAGCGATCCTTGGGCTTTCATGCTAGGACACCATCTGCCTCAGTGCAGCATGGCAGAGAGAGGGACCCAGAAGGGCTCTCCAACAAGCATAACTCATTCTGTAGCTTCTCAGGGCTGCATCTCATGAAAGCCCAGAAAGGAGCCCACCAGAAAAACAGGCAAGTTTCCAGTTAAATCCTACCTATAAATCAATGACTTTTTTCCTTCCTTTTTTTTTTCTTTTTAATTTTTCTTTTTTTAAAGAAAGTCTTTGCACAAAACTTTTCAGATTCTGGAAATGCAATGCCAGTCCAGAAAGTGCAGATGCAGGGCCAGGAGAGGGAAGGCTACCAGAACTAGGGCAGCCTCCTATTTTAGAGGAGATTGAGCCAGTTACTGGGTTTAGAGGATGAGACTAACAGACAGCACTGTGCAAGGCTCCCTTAGCCTTGCAGAATTTAAAAGCTACAAACACCCTGAAGAGCGAGCTCCCAGATCAGTGCATGTTCAGGTCAGGTGTTTAAACTGAGAGCTCCTCAATCTGGTGGGTATTTTTCCTCCTGTTGGAACTGATTCTGATTCAGCTGAAGCACGGCACATGCAAGAGTCACACTCCTACCTCTCAAACTCAACAGTCGCCTCTAGCCAGCATGCTGCAGATAGAGAACATCTTCCTTTTGAACACACTACCTCATTCTGATTTCCCTCTGATAGCACCTCACCATTTCTACTCCACATTTCTCTCAGTTTCCTCCTCTCCCCATCTAAATCACAATTTCCAGTTTCCTCCTGTTTTCTTGTACTATGTTTCACTTCTCTCTGCCCAGTTTTGCAGTTTGACACATAATAGGTTGAATAATGAAATATATGAAAGATTTTTTTTCTTGCGTTCTCAATAACCTCAGTCTTTTCTCAAACTTCACTGTATTTTTCATCTCTCGAGTCCAGTCGGTTCATACGAGTGCTGCTCTGGCTCCTGATAATAAAAAGAAATACAAGGAGGGCAAGAAATCTGATGGAAGACATGGAAAAATAGGACAAAGAATATAGACTTTTTACTTGGTCATCACATGCATGGGAGCACATGACTGGAAGGGAAAGAG